GTTCCTTAGGGTTCCCTATTATAAGTAATGTAGAAGAAACCCCAAAACCCTGTTCTAACTATTAAGGCCCCTCGAACGGATAGAGATCCCAAGCCGTTCTTTCTCTACGCAGGCGCCCATCGTAAGAGTGGAAAGCCCCGCGCCCTCGGCCTCCAAGCCCACAACCTTACCGAAGCCCTAAATACTAAGCCAAACCCTAAACCCTAAACCCTAAACTCTTAACCGAAGCCTCTTTCAGGATATTGGTCCTCTGTTTTTGTTCGACTGCCAGCCTGTGGAACCAGCATCGTTCCTGCAACTTTGCGAGAGCAGTGCGAGAAAAACATACGAGCCGAAACCCTGAAGCGTAAGTTACGAAGCGACTGAACTTCAGGCCTAAGCCCAGCAGTCAAAAGCCTGACCGTAAGCTAGGCAAGAACATTTCCCAGCACTGCTGGCAAGGCTTCAGCTTTCTCAGGCCGTAGAGCAACATAGAGTTTAAGGTTCAGGGTGTAGGTTCAGCGTTTGTGTTTTAATGAGGCCCCTTAGCTGACTGCCTCGGTGTTCATCCGCCCGTGGCTTGCCTCCCGGTGCTTTCAACCTAAACCCTGAACCCTGCTGTCTCAGGGCCCTTACGCTGATGTTCTTCACTTTCCAGAACAAGACGAAGTCAGCTGCCGTTCGTCAGGCCTGGGCAAGGGACGGGCAAGCCGTCGCATTTAGGACTTCTGGACTTAGCGACGTAGGGTTTAAAACCCAAGTAAACCCGAGCCCTAAACCCTGCCTAGACCCTAGACCCTAAACCCTAAACCCTGACCATGACCCTAAACCTTAGATCTTCAAGTTTTTCGGAGATGGTGTTCTGGGAATGCGATGCATCCGTGCGGCAGCCGTTTGCGTGGGCTCAAAGATCTGAGGGGTGGCTGCTTCAGGCCACATAGATCCCTAGAAGTCTGAAGAAGTAGGAGCTTTAGCATCGTTGGAGCCTCTATTGAAACTAGCTCTACTACTTGTATATAGTAGACGCCAGAAATAGCTGAAGATTTTGAGCCCATAGAGTGCAGCTTGAGGCTTGGAATGTGTTGCTTTGAGGTTCAGATCCCCAAACTTACATGGGCCGAGGGGCCGCAAGCTCAACTTACTACTGTTTTGGGGGTTCCTTATTATAGTCATGGTATAATGGGGCCCCAAAACCCTATTCTACTTATTAAGGCCCCTACATTAGGCATCTTCCGCATCTTTACTGCAGCCTGACATGGAGGGGAGTTCCTAGACCTGTCATTCTGCCGAGATGCTGGAACTCCAAGTCCTTGCCGCAAAGTTTTGCACACCCTGAGCCTCAAGCCCTAAACCCTAAGCCCCGAACCCTAAGCCCCAGATCTTAAGAAGCTCGTCCCTATGTGCTCCCTTGCACGGACGGCCGGCGATGTCCGTCCTGCATCTGGAAGAAGGCGCTCTGCTGGACTTCGACAGTCTGCAACCCGGCAGAGCATGTAAGAACTATTTTACTTCGAACATCCCCACCCTACAGATAATGCATTTTCCAGGCCTATAAGGGAGTCTCACGCTAGTCTGTGAGGTTGGGCACTCCAGGGACTCTCACGGTAGTCTGTGGGGTTGGGCGCTTCAGGAAGTCTCACGGTGGTCTGTGGGGTTGGGCACTTCAGGGAGTCTCACGGTGGTCTGTGGGGTTGGGCACTTCAGGCAGTCTCACAGTGGTTTGTGGGGTTGGGCACTCCGAAGAGTCTCACGGTAGTCTGTGGGGTTGGGCACTCCAAGAGGTAGTCTCAGAGGGCGAGGAGTAATAGCTGACTTGAACTCTAACAACCCCACACTGATGGTGGGGAATAAAGCGAACGGACGTTCTGCACAGTTTTCTCCTTAACCACCAAACTCACTTAACCCTAAACTCCTAAACCCTATCAAACACTGCACCCTACGCCCTAAACTCCTAAACCTTATCAGGCACTAAACCCGAAACTCCTATACCTTATCAAACACTGAACCCCCCTCAGGATGATCAGCTAGGAGGAGAAGTCACAATTCAGCAGAGCTTTCTGTCGCAGACTGCGGTCTGAGCAAGCAAAGGGGTTTAGGGTTCAGTTTTTAGGGTTTAGGGTTCAGGGTTTTGGGGTAAAGGGGGTTCCGGTGGACAGACAGTCCGAAGCAGCCCCGGTCGTATCTAGACGCAGCACAAGTTGGATTTAAAAACTGTGGGCCCCGAGGCGGCACCTAAAGAGAAGGATCCCAAGTTGGGGTCGAGTGGGTCCTCTGACCTTCAAGTGGTCTGTTGGGCCCGTGAAAGCCTCACAGCCTAAAGCCCTAAACCCTAAACCCTAAAAAGGGATGGTCGTTGAAACCGATATTCCGGACAATCATAACCAATACTCCGTTCTGTCATTCTCTTAAGGCCTTAAAGCTTGGATGTTTGGGTTTCAACGGCTTCCAGGTTTAAAGGATACTGAGGTCGTTGGGAGGGGAGGCAGGCTCCCAAAGCTTGCGAAGAGAAAGGCCTCATGCAGCTTCAGGACTTCGGGTGTAGGATTTCAGGGTGTAAGCAATAAGGTTTGCGGTGTAGGGCTTTAGGGGTTTAGGGCGAAGAGACAGACTTCGTTGAACGCCAACCTGGTCCTGCTCGGTTCGACGATCGAGTGCACTTCAACCCATGAGCTCAGCATGCACAAGCGCCGGCAGGAAACATCAGTATGTCCGTATATTTGCATCATATGCATCTAGGCCATGACCCTTGGATGGCCCAGCAATGTGATTACAAAACTGCATGCACGAAACAACTCAGTGCACGAAGCTGACATTATGAAAAGACACTTGGCAGTTGGGGAGCTTGTCTGAGGATGGGAACCGACTTCCAGTTCTGGACCTTACTTTACAAAAAGTAGATAAAGGTAAGTAATAGCTGCTGTACAGCATGTGTATGATGTTGTTTTGACGTGTTTCCGTCTCTCCTGCTTGAGGTTTGAAGAGGCAAATACAAATGGTTACCTCTTCTTGACTGTGCATCGGATACACAGATAAACATATATGGCAGTTCTAGTAAGGTTTCAGGAGATGAATGTTTGCACATTCTTCGGGGGCCTAGATGTGTGACATAGATTCATTCAGAGGACCCCCCAGATTCTGTGCCCAGGAGTAATATGAACGAATTTTGGCTGTCTTGGATCGATGTCAGGAAAATACACCATCTGCGCAGATGGCTGTATTTGTGTATTTAAGAATGTTTCTCCGACACACTATTGTGCACAAGGTCTGACTCTAGCTATGGTTATTATATAACTCACTTCTTCGATGCGGGTATGAGAAGTACAGCCGTATGTGCAAAATGATGTATTGTTCGTCTTTGGCATTGCTATCCCAGAAATACAGCCATTTGCGCAGATGGCTGTATTTGTCTCTCTTCCAGGTTTGGGTGATGTATTTTGAGATGTTGCGATTCTGTTTCAAGAAATACATCACGGGTTGTTGCGTCTCTCCAGAATACAGCCATTTGCGCAGATGGCTGTATTTTTCGGCTCCGGAATTCCTATCCCAGAAATACAGCCATCTGCGCAGATGGCTGTATTTATCTCTCTTCCAGCTATGGGTGATGTATTTTGAGATGCTGTGATTCCTATCCCAGAAATACATCACAGGGTGTTGCCTCTCTACAGAATACAGCCATTTGCGCAGATGGCTGTATTTCTCGGCTCCGGAATTCCTATCCCAGAAATACAGCCATCTGCGCAGATGGCTGTATTTATTTCTCCTCCAGGTATGGGTGATTCACGAGTTGTCGCCTCTCTACAGAATACAGCCATTTGCGCAGATGGCTGTATTTCTCGGCTCCGGCATTCCTATCCCAGAAATACAGCCATTTGCACAGATGGCTGTATTTATATCTCCTCCAGGTATGGGTGATTCGCGGGTTGTCGCCTCTCTCCAGAATACAGCCATTTGCGCAAATGGATGTATTGGTCATGCCCTGGTGGCGACTATGTTTGCATGATGGGTGTGTTTTTGGATCTTGGGTTTTACCTTCCCAAAATACATTCATGGCGCTTGCCTCTTTACCAAATACAATCATTTGCGCAGATGGTTGTATTTTCGGCGGCCCGAATTCCTATCCCAGAAGCACATTCATTTACTCACTTACGCCCGGACACAACTAGGGTTTACACCCATGTGCACAGATGATTGTACCATGGGTGCCTGGTGTCGAATACATCCATTTTCTTCTTCGTGACCCCCAATGTTTGGTTTCATGCCCTTGTGCATTCGTATTCTTTGTTTCTGGCAACCTTCAGAACCGATTCATGCATTAATTTTCCTGCGTAGGTGCAGTAAGTCCCTCGGGCATGTCAGGCAGCTCATCGTTTGAGGTCTTGCTGCTTGCAACGCACTTCGAATCTTCAAAAGCCGTAGAAGCATCACTCTCGTCATACGAGTCGGACGGATCCCGGAGTCGTCGTGCCCCTGAATGTCCGTGTCAGCGCTGCCCTCTTCAGAGATTGCATCGACATCTGTCGTCATCTTAGGAAACCTGCTGAAACCGCAACCTCTGCAAATAGGTCGTAAGCCGTAGTCGGCAAGATTGGAGGATGGTTCAGAGAAGCAACAGCTGGCTTCTGATGTGTGCTCACTGTGGTGTCTGGCTGCTGCCGCTCGAGACTGTCTGCTTTCGGCGGGCTTCGAAGCTAAACACTGCTGCACGTCTGGACAGATTTCGTGGATGAAGCTTCGCATCCAACACTCCAACACATCTGGGCACCGCCAAAAACCGTTAAATGCCTTGGATTTTCACTTAACCCAACACACCTGGGTTCCCCAAAATACCCTAAACTCTTCAAAAAACTCTTCAACCCCAGGCCCAGATTAGGGAGTATCGGTTATGTTTGTCCTGGGTATTGGTTGTCATGGCTGTCCCTTTAAACCCTAAACCTAAACCCCGAAGCCCGAAATCAAAAAGCCTTGGAGCGCGCCCTCCACCAACAATCTTCAGTAACCTAAACCCCAACTTTCCAGCCAAGGCGCTGCCGTCTTCGGGAATGGATTCCCTCCTTGAGCAGCTGCGTAGTGGTTCGCGAGACAAGGTGCTGTTGCGTTGGGTTTAGTTTAGGGCCTATAGGGTTAAGCCGTTAAGCCCCAAACCCTAAGCCCTAAGATTAGTTTTAGGGCCTTGGGCCCCCTAAACCCTAAACCCTAAACCCCCAAACCCCCTGAGATTCGTTTTAGGGCCTTGGGCTGGCCTTTGGAGGCTCCGGGGGGGCTTTTCGTTGGAGCTTACCGGTTTGGGGGGTTTCGGGCTATAGGAGGTTGGGGTTTGCAGGTTCGGAGGGTCAGGATGTCGGATGTAGTGTAGTGAGGGTGCAAGGTCTAGTGTAGGGCTCAAGATGCTTCCGCCTCGCTGAGTAGGTAACCTTTAACCTTTTGGGGCTCTTTTAATCCTACAAAAATTCAAAAGGTTTACCTTCTTATTTTGGGGCTAGGGTACTCAGCCCCTAAGAGTTTGGTCACTCTGGGCTTCACAGGTGTTTGGGTCCTGCGTAGGGAATATTCCATACACCGATGAGCCGTCCGAGCTGACAACCGGAGTTTCGTTTTAGATGAGGAGAAGAATGCACATGGAGGCGGCGTTCCATAAACCCTTGAAAGTTTCGACCCCAAGCCCTGAAGAGTACGTCCGCTCCCAAAACTGCCTCCAGCTCCCAAACCGAAAGACACTCTGCAGCCACGACTGCTACTACGACGACGACGACTAAACCTGCTACTGCTACCGCGACGACGACGACGACGACGACGACGACGACGACTACTACTACTACTACTACTCCCCCTCCTTCTGCTCCTCCTGCTGCTGCCGCTGCTGCTGCTGCTGCTGCTGCTGCTGCTGCTGCTGCTGCTGCTTATCACCACCACGACCACCACCCTCTTTTTACTTACATGTTGCTGGATAACATGCTTCCTTGTTGCCACTTCTACTGTGCGGGGGCTGTTTACGGAAGACGCTAAGCGTATAGAAACCCTAATCCTACCGCGTTTTCCCTCTCTTCAGTTCGTCGTCACGGCTGATTGGTACCTGCGAGGACCTGTTGCTTCATGCGATTCGTAGTGCCAGAGCTCGACTCATTCAGGTTTCGGGCCTTATCGCCTGGGAACTTAATTCCTTTGAGCCACTTGTTATGTACCTGCTCGCCACCCTAAACCCTATAAGCCCTAAGCCTAATCGCCTAGAGTTCCCTGTAAACCCTTGATCCTGAAGGGGCCTGAGATGATCGATGTGATTACGCAACTGTCAGTACACCATGCTAACGCTAACCCCGGATCAGGCCCAACAAATACCTTTTGAAGGGCATCTTCGAAGCTGACCCTGGAGCCCTAGGCAGCAGACAAATAGAGACCACAAGGGCCTTAAAAGATAGAATAAGGTTTGGAGGTTAATCATACCATTATTATGATAAGGCACCCCCAAAACCCTATTCTACTTATGAAGGCCCCTACATTATACATCACCATCGAAAAAGACAAGCTCAAGCAGTCACGGGTCGACTTCATTCCGTGCAGTGCAGGACGCCTTTTTCCTGGCCGCTGCGTGGCTGAGGCAACGGCGTTGGTGGGTCCTCACCACTGGTGTTCAGGAAAACACCCGGCTTCTCACCCGAATTGGCTGACTGTTTTCGGCTTCACGGTCTTGAGGGGTGAGGTTTCAAACTTACAGGTTTTTGGTTGGATGAGAGCTTGAGTGTTTTCGTGATTAGAGGCTGGGTTTCAGGCACTGGGGCTGTATTGGGGTAGGGTTGTACGGTGTCTCTTCCCAGCTCCAGTGAGACAAACATCCCATCTTCTCGTACCCAAGACTCCGGAAGCCCTCACCCTCAATCCCACTTACTCCCTAAACCGAAGGCCGTAGAGCCTAAACTCAAAGCCTTAAGCCCTCACCCAAAACCCTGAAACCCTAGTATCGGGGCCTTAATAATTGCCTGTACTATTCTGGTGGCTGCTTGTAAAAATTATAATAAAAAAATATACCCCAAAACCCTATTCTGATTGTTAAGGCCCCTACACCCTAAACCCTTATAGTAGCCCTTATAGAATCCCTTTAAGGAGCCCTTTAAAGAAGGAACCCCTTCGGAAAATCTGAGAGTCCACCCTAAACCCTAAACCCTAAACCCTAAACCCGAAACCTTATACCCTAAACCCTAAACCCTAAACCCCACCCCGGCTTCTCCAGGGAATTACCCTGGGCGTCTCTGCGGCCGGCCCGAGAAGACCAAAGCCGCTGGGATATGAGAGAAGCGATCTTTGAATCAAGGGTTTGGGGTTTGGGGTTTGGGGTTTAGGGTTTAGGGTTTAAGGTTTGGGGTTTAGGGTTTAGGGTTAAGGGTTTAGGGTTTAGGGTTTAGGGTTTAGGATCAAGGGTTTAGGGT